CCCCTGATACGCGGTGATACACGGACACCACTGATACGTGGTGATACACGGACACCACTGATACGTGGTGATACACGGACACCACTGATACGTGGTGATACACGGACACCCCTGATACGTGGTGATACACGGACACCCCTGATGCGTGGTGATACACGGACACCCCTGATACGCGGTGATACACGGACACCACTGATACGTGGTGATACACGGACACCACTGATACGTGGTGATACACGGACACCACTGATACGTGGTGATAGCATGGCTCACTGCGTCATCATAAAGTCCCCATATAACACATACTAATTTACCCTGTATAACACATATATACGATACATAAAGTCCCTGTATAACAAACACTAATTTTCCCTGTATAACACGCATATATAGAACATGTGGTCCCCATATAACACACACAGATTGTCGCGCTGTTATCAGCAGTACTGATAACACACCTAAAATTTGTGTGGCCGTCCTTATCTCTGCCGCACTGGCTCGAATTTTCCCAATAGTGCGTCGGTAATTCCGTTTATATTTATTTTTTATATTAACGTTAACAACTGGCCAAACCTTGAACGTTTGAGTCAGTGAGTCAAGCTTGACTCACGTCTTGTGTCAGTTGCAGCTGCTACATCCATCACCTGACTCATGTCTTGTGTCAGTTGCTGCTGCTACATCCATCACCTGACTCAGGTCTTGTGTCAGTTGCAACCCTTTTGCTTTCCCCTCTATTTCGTCAGACTTTTGATTCGATTTTTTTTGCAAAAATTTGTTTGCAGATTAAGAATTTGGTTATCAGATTGTTTATGTACAGGTCATGGTTACTCGTTCAATTGGAGCACTTACGGTGCTCGTTTTTTAGCGCTGTGGACCACATTTACTTCGCGCAGCATCTTCCGACATCAGTATAGATCATTCTAGCGGTAGCGGTAGCGCCCGCTTCATCCCCGCAATCTCAGTGATAATTTTAAAAATAGTAAAATATAAATAATAATTAATAATTAACAATCTTTTTTTCTAGCAACCAATGCAACCAACTCTCAATAAAGCATGTTCCCCTAGGTTGCCCTGGATATAACTATGAAAATCTATTTTTATTTTTACTAGCGACGAGCGTATTATCCTCAAGTTGCAGCGGGATATCGAGACATAGCAACACATAATTTTCATACCTCGTCTAACATAATCCACGTAGAGTTTACAAGCTGCGTCTTATCCGCCGTGTTGCCGATAACGTTCACGATGTACTAGCGCTGAGTGCTGCAGACTATAGGCACCTTAATTACCAATTGCATTTCTGTAACAGTTGGCATGTTTGTCATTAATGACCCAATGAGTGACTTGGTTTATTTCATCATTCGCCAATGTATGATTTATAAGTGCCCGTTGCTTCTAGGGAAGTGTTTTCTTCAATGCAAGCTTCCCATTTGTTGGAGCGAAGCATCCTTGACTTTGCAGAACTATTAAATAGTCAGTATTCCCACTGGCTTGTATAACATATACTGAAATTCCTATAAGTATTGCTTTGATCACTCTAGTTTACTATGAACACTTACTTTACCACTAAAGCCGCTACATGTCACCATAAGCTATCAACAGCGATGAATAAAGCGAAGGCCTATCACATCTTTACGTGTGGTTGCCACGTGATGTGATGGCCACGTGAGATGATGGCCACGTGAGGTGATGGCCACGTGATGTGATGGCCACGTGAGGTGATGGCCACGTGAGGTGATGGCCACGTGAGGTGATGACCACGTGAGGTGATGGCCACGTGAGGTGATGGCCACGTGAGGTGATGGCCACGTTAGATGGCCACATTAGATGCTTGCCATAAGAAATGCTTGCCTTATATGGCTGCCCTACACGTGCAGTTGGAGCGCGGCTATTGCAGTACGCGTCACCCCAGCGTCGGTGCTGACGCTCCTAGAATGAACGCAACATGTGATGAAGCAAGCGAAGGATGTTCAACAGCGTAACATTGAATGAGGATTTGTTCGAATTGATTTATTTATAATTACTGCCAAATCACAGCGACATTCTTAGCGTGCCCTGCTCACGAACCCTACGCAATTGCCGTCACTCCAACGAAGTGGTTGTTGGGGTTAAGTCGTTTGAGTGCTAATGGGGCGTAGATCTTATGTGGCGTTCTTTTCTGGCTTGTCTGTTGAGTGAATGAATTTTGCCACGTACACAATTTTGATTAACGTTTGGACCTCGTATTGCCAGCTGATGTCACACCAGCAACATTCCTCTACGACCTTTGCTGCGTTTATCAGTCGCGGCGACAGTCCTGACAACCATAGGCCACGTGCTATACTGGACGTGGCTCACGCCTCATGCGCCTTTACCGTCCACGCATGATGTGCGTCATGATGCCTGCTCTCAGCCTCGCAGGATTCATGCCCATGCGCATGCTGAAGGACTATGCAGGCGAGGAGCGTGTATCAACTGCCAGTTTGATCATAAAAGCTCGGAGGAGTATCAGAGTTCCTTAAGTTATAGAGTTGTGACATCCGCTGCCGCTCTTGCAATTTACAAGAATCATTCATACTAAATTTAACCGTGGGTTGGTGATGGAAGGGCCTGACCATCATAGAGTTTGACAAGCCTCGTGCAAATCAAGTTCAGCTGCCGGCACTCGTGTGGCTCGTCTTGAGAACGCTAACTAGAGCTGCGATAGAAATAGCCCGCAAAATTGACTATAAACCTCAGGCAAGTTCGTCGCCAGGACACCGTAGCGCAAAAACTGCGCGCAAATTAATCAGAAAAAAGCATAAGCAAGAACAATGTAGAGCTCGTACGCCGCGAAGCACAAGAAGAGGTCTTGTGTTATATCAAAGGCATGAAGTTGCACGGCAGTTCTCTGTATCTGACAGCTGGCAATGCGAGCTCGCTGCAACAATGCATGCGACTCTCTCTTGGCAAGCACCAGGGCCTATACTTTCAAAAAAAGTTAAGAGATCGGAAGTTTATCAGCCAATCATTGACGGTTTTTCAAGCACAATCCTCCGATCATAGACATGAAAATAGAGCGTAAGTACTTACGTTCACTTAGCGAGTTTTGCAAGCATGGCACCAGGCCAACACATGGAAATAAGATCACAGTCTCGCGCCACGCAAGATATTGGGCGCCCTGTCAACTGTGTTGCTCATATAGGTACAGGTGTGGGCGCCGTGTTGGTTGTGATGCATGCGTGACCATGGGGCCATACTTTCAAAATTCGCTAAGTGAACGTAAGTACTTACGCTCTATTTTCTCGTCTATAATTTGCTTGAAAGGCCCTCAATGATTGGCTGATGAACTTACGATCTCTTAACTTTTTTTTTAGTATAGGCACAGCGTTTGGTTGCCTGGTTGCACAGGCGAGTTGCTCACCAGACTTCATCGCACCGGTTGACACGTTACTGATTACTGTTATCAGCGCTGATAACAGAGCTGGCCTTATCGCTGCTGTGGTGTATCAGTGTCGCTGATAAGGCAATCACGGTCGCGCTATCGCCGCACCCGTTTCTCTAATCGCAATGACGCCTATGAGTCTATTTTATCATATTTCTTTGTATTGACCAAACATTATAGGTGACCAAAATGAGAATTTAAAGAAAGAATTGTTAGCGAAAGAAGAAAATTAAAAGGTGATTTGATGTATACCGGAAGGAGTTATTGTAAATCGTGTTGTGGGATCTCAATACTGTAATCATAAGTGTCCGTGTTGATGCCCGTGTCGCAAGTGTCCGTATTATTGTCTCATGTGTCTCCGTATTTTTCAGGAGCACACACAACGAGCTGGAGAAGAACCGGTGAGTGCACGTGGAACGTGGGTATCCTGGATATGTGGTACGTGGGCAGCCTGGGTACGTGAGTACCCGGGGTATGTGGTAAGTGGGCAGCCTGGGTACGTGAGTACCTGGGGTATGTGGTAAGTGGGCAGCCTGGGTACGTGAGTACCCGGGGTATGTGGTACGTGGGCAGCCTGGGTCGTGAGTACCCGGGGTATGTGGTACGCGGGCAGCCTGGGTACGTGAGTACCCGGGGTATGTGGTACGCGGGCAGCCTGGGTACGTGAGTACCCATAAGTGCCCTTGAGTAGCGTGAAGTCGTCACCACTCATGCGTGTGGTGAGTGACGCGTTCACCAAACGAGTGGCGAATGCATCGCTGCGTTCACCACGTGACCGCCATGCCTGGCGAGGTGCACGGCAGCAGTGAAGTGTGGGTTAGGGGGTGTGGTCGTGGCGGACGGGGAGCAGCACGCACCCTCACACGACCACCGCTGAAGTGCAACTGACTTTCGAGGTCCCGCTTGCAGCGGCCGAGGATGCGGACTGCAGAGTTCAGTGAGGACGAGTGCTGGTGTGCCAAATGTTGTGCTGCGATCTGCTGTGCAGTGTGCCACGTCTGCGCATAGGAACAAGTCTTGTGTTCCCTACGTAGCTTGCGTGTCGGACTTCTATGTTTGGATCTGCTGCTGCTGCTGCACCGGTTACTGCTGCTGTTGCTGCGATCATTGCTGCAGCTGCAGATATTGTTGCTGCTACTCTCACTGTTGCTGATGTAGAGATATTCTGTTTACCCTGCACTCATCATTCTGACCTAACCGCTGCTCCTGCAAGCTCTGTTCCTGATGCTGCAAGCAGCTGCTGCTGCTGCGTACTCAACTTCTGAGTGCTCGCCTACTCCCCCACCTATCCCCTCCCCCCTCAACCTCCCACTTTCTACGGGACTGAGATGCTGAGGACATTCGCCCCCCCTCACGTGAATCTTGCAACGGGCACGTGAATCCTGCAACGGGCACGTGAATCTTGCAACGGGCACGTGAATCTTGCAACGGGCACGTGAATCCTGCAGCGGGCACGTGAATCTTGCAGCGGGCACGTGAATCCTGCAGCGGGCACGTGAATCTTGCAACGGGCACGTGTGTGGCACTGCTACTCTACATGCGTGGCTGTAAAACGGCATCTTCATGTATGGCATGCATGGCCTTGTATGTATAGCCACAACTGCCACATGAAGTGTAGTGGCACTGCCGCTGCCACATGAAGTGTAGTGGCGCTGCAGCTGCCACATGAGTGTACTAGTGCCACTGGTGATGCTAATGCATGATGATATGCACTACAATGTAGTGACGAGTGGCACTGCGAATGCCACCTGACGGGAGGCACTGCGAATGCCACCTGACGGCAGGCACTGCGAATGCCACCTGACGGTAGGCACTGCGAATGCTACCTGACGGCAGGCACTGCGAATGCCACCTGACGGTAGGCACTGCGACTGCCACCTGATGGCAGGCACTGCGAATGCCACCTGATGGCAGGCACTGCGAATGCCACCTGACGGCAGGCACTGCGAATGGCAGCTCAATAAGCTGCAGTTATGGCTGACGTGAGCGCAGTGGCGCATCTGGCAGCAGCGGTGCCTGGTGGTGCCAGAGGCGCGATGTCTGGCACAGCGCGCGTGTGGTGCCCATGAATGGCCCACCCTTGTGGTTATGTGGTGCCCTTGAATGGTTATGTGTTACGGGTCTCGGGCCCGGGCACCCAGACATGAAGCTGGGCCACCTCGGGGCACGGCCATAGGGCGCGGGCGACGTAAGAGCGCTGACGATGAGCTGAATAAGACATCGCAACTTAAACCCTGATGAGTAAGATGCAATACAACGGGGTCGAGGAGAATAATAAATCTCAAGAGGCGGTAGTGCTTTATTAACGCCGGAAACTCGTCCAGATTAAAGATGAGTATCGAGGCTTCGTTAGATGACCACATCGCGGCAATAGCTGCGAAAGGCAGACATCATGCGAGGTGGATCTGGCGGACATTTCGAACGAGAAAATTTGTGAAAATGAATACTCTCTTGAGAGCCCTCGTGCTCCCAATTCTGGAGTACTGCTGCCAGCTTTGGGCGCCCCTCGTAGCTGTATGGCAATAGGCTGCACCTTGTGTCATGGCTGCGCCTTGTGTCATGGCTGCACCTTGTGTCATGGCTGCACCTGTGTCATGGCTGCACCTTGTGTCATGGCTGCTTCTTGTGTCATGGCTGCACCTTGTGTCATGGCTGCACCTGTGTCATGGCTGCACCTTGTGTCATGGCTGCTTCTTGTGTCATGGCTGCTGTGTCATGGCTGCGCCTTGTGTCATGGCTGCGTCTTGTGTCATGGCTGCGCCTTGTGTCATGGCTGCACCTTGTGTCATGGCTGCGCCTTGTGTCGTGGCTGGACTTTACGCCTCGCAGAAGGTGTTAACTAACCTTAAACGAACCTCATGACCTCTTGGGGGTGGTGGAGGTGGAGGGGGGAAGGTGGGAGGAGGGTGTCGCGACATGTTATTTCAATCACTGTTTTCTTGTCATTGTAGGGGAAATGTTGTTATCACTGTGTTCGTTGCAGGAGAGCTGTTGTTATCATTGTTGTCGTTGCAAGAGAGCTGTTTTTATCTCTGTTGTCGTTGCAGGAGAGCTGTTGTTATCACTGTTGTCGTTGGTGGAGAGCTGTTGTTATCACTATTGTTGCAGGAGAGCTGTTGTTATCACTGTTGTTGCAGGAGAGCTGTTGCTATCTCTGTTGTCGTTGCTGGAGAGCTGTTGTTATCATTATTGTCGTTGCAGGAGAGCTGTTGTTATCACTGTTATCGTTGCAGGAGAGCTGTTGTTATCTCTGTTTTCGTTGCTGGAGAGCTGTTGTTATCACTGTTGTCGTTGCAGGAGAGCTGTTGTTATCACTGTTGTCGTTGGTGGAGAGCTGTTGTTATCACTGTTGTCGTTGCAGGAGAGCTGTTGTTATCATTGTTGTCGTTGCAGGAGAGCTCACCTGCGCACGTGCCTGGAGAAGTTGAAGCAGCTGGTCCCGCTGGGCCCCGATGGCTCGCGACACACAACACTGGGCCTCCTCAACAGGGCCAAGGCCTTCATACAGGTGGGGGGCAGGGCCAAGGCCTTCATACAGGTGGGGGAGCAGGACCAAGGCCTTCATATGTGATAGGGGCAACAGGGCGCTGTGTGGAGATAGTGGATCGAGGCCCTCTTGAAGTAGTCAGTGGCATTCCTCAAGGTGGAGTTCAGGAGACTTACTATGAAAACTCGCTTGAAAAGCTGTCAGTAGTTGGCTGTTGAAGTTACGAACTTGTAACAGATGGACGCTAGTGTTCGTCAGAGAGTGCGACATGGCGCATGATAATACCGCAGCCAGATGAACGTTCGCTTATATTCATGGAAGCACACGATGGCCATGCACGGGTTTGAGGGTTTCTAAGATAAGAATGCGGACGACTCCACAGCGCCAGATTACATACCGTTTCATTTGACCTGGGGAACATAAGCGGGGGAGAGGGCCGGGTAGTGAGTTGTGGTGAGGTCGGTCCTGAGGAGTCGGGAGATGCGGGAACCTACGTGGTCAGGCGACAAGTGGGGCAGGTTCCAGTGTGCGTAGAGATGAGGTAGTTTGTGGGCTGACTTCAACGGCGTTTGATTGCCTGAGGCTCTGGAGAGAGGCTAGCTGCTGGTACGGTAGGACCTAGCGGGGCGGTAGAGGGGCAATTAGGCAGTAAGTTCTATCGGCCGTAAGAGGCAGTGAGCCGTTACATATCCGTTGGCGTGACCGTTGTCTGTGCCGTAACGTAACACTGCCCTAACTCCATCCTAACTCCAGACACTAGAGGAGCGTGAGCGCAGTAGCTGCAAGACGCGGGCGCAGCTGACGCGGGAGGGCGCCGCGCTGCACCGCCGCCTCGACGACCTCGGCTTCCCTAGCGACGCCCGCGTCGCCCTTCTCTCCAAACGCCGCTCCGTGTCCGAGAGCAGCGGCCTGTCCTCCTGCTGCTCACCGCCCCACAGGGACGCGGGGTCCTGCTCAGAGTATGGTGAGTACTGCTGCCAGCTTTTGTCCTTCCTCGTAGATCTCGTTGAAATCAGAGTATGGTGAGTACTGCTGCCAGCTTTTGTCTTTCCTCGTAGATCTCGTGATGAAATCAGAGTATGGTCAGTACTGCTACCAGCTTTTGTCCTTCCTCGTAGATCTCGTGATGAAATCAGAGTATGGTCTGTACTGCTGCCAGCTTTTGTCCTTCCTCGTAGATCTCGTGATGAAATCAGAGTATGGTCAGTACTGCTGCCAGCTTTGGTCCTTCCTCGTAGATCTCGAGATGAAATCAGAGTATGGTCAGTACTGCTGTCAGCTTTTGTCCTTCCTCGTAGATCTCGTGATGAAATCAGAGTATGGTCAGTACTGCTGCCAGCTTTTGTCCTTCCTCGTAGATCTCGTGATGAAATATTGAGATGAATTAAACGGGGAAGTTAACACTGCCTTTATACAGTAATTTCCACGTTAATTCCATTATCTTATGAGCGTCACTTAACTCCCACCCCTCCCCCAGACGAGGTGCTGAGCTACTGCAGCAGCTCCCCCAGCGACACGGACGACTGGCAAGGCTTCCAGTCCTCCTTCCCCGCGGCTGGGGAAGCCTCCCTCACGGGGGAGATTATTGGCAATGGGGCTTCCCTGTCCTCCTCAACCCCATCCAACTTTTCCCCCATTGGGGGAAGTCTTTTCACGGGCATGTCCCCCAAGATCTCCTCCTCCCACTACCAGCCCACGGTGATGTCCTCCAACTTCATTTTCTCGGGGACCGCCACATCGAAGCCTTCCAAGGGCGTCGTCCGCCACCCCAGCGGCCTGACCGCCAGCAAAAGCATAAGGATCCCTAACAGGGCCTCTTCGTCCTCTCTGTCCTCTTCTTTGTCCTCTTCTTCGTCCTCATCGTCGTCCTCCAGCGATGGCGGCGTGGCGTCCTTCACTCAGCGGCTGTCCATCAGCGACAACCGTGCCCTGCCAAAGATCAACGTCGTGTCCGCCGTCCACGCCCACCGCTTGGCCGCCACTGCCGTCCTCTAGGTGAGCTTACCATCATTCCTTATAGTCAATACTTATAAGAATGGAAGTACTTATAATACTTCAGTACTGTACATCAGTATCATAATATCAGTACATCAAAAATTGAAGACGATAAGAATAATTATTCGCGTACAGAATAAGAAGAGTAAACGCGTGAGCGGGGAATTATCTCCTTCTTTTTCCCCACAGGGGAGGACGACTCAAGAGATTGCTGTTGTCCCGACACGTTACCACGTCTTCCCCTGGGAGGGGAAATATCAGCCGTGCAGAGGAGGGGGAGAGTGTGAGGCGGGGGATGAGAGGGAAGCGTGATGTGGGGGATCAGGAATGTGTGTAGGGGAATTAAAGTAACGCTTCAGGGGATGTAAGGGACGAGTGTATGAGTGGGAAGAGCATCCATCCACTGGCCTCTGATATGGCGGCCCCGAAGTTATTAGGGCTATGGGGAATAAGTCATCCTCGCAGCCCCAACTATTGGGGCTAAGTTGGGCGGAGAGAGAAGGTCCGTACCTGGGGTTGACGGGGCAAGTTAATACTGACTTCCCCAACTTGGCTACCCATGGGGGTAGGGTGAGGAAGGCTCAGCTTAGAACTTTCCATGTTTCGCTAGAGGCGCGCTTTTGACTGCCAACTAATAAGGAGTTAATGTAACAATGTTGATCGTCTTTTAGGTGAGCATAATATTGAAAGATTGAATATAATGGGAGTGTAAAGGGGAGTTAGGGAACAGGGAGCTCCCATAAGCAGGAGCGTGGCGGGGGAGGAGGCCTGCAAGTTCCCACACACAACAAAGTTTAAGTGCAAATGGATTTAATTATATGCGTAATTTCTTGGTGAAAATCACCCTAAATTTGGCAATTTAGGTGCCCGCTATAAAACTTTATTGCAGAATGAAATAATATTTATTTATATAGCTCAACATGAATATCTGTATGCAGTAGACTCAGGAGTCGGATGAAGCTAGCGAAGGCCGTGGGTATTTCTTGTCAATAAGCATCTAGATATTCCGAGGAGGGCCATCAATGTTGTTCTTAATTAGAAACAACTGTGAAAACAATGTTCATGAGTCACAATTTACCACAAACCTGTTGATTCAGACATTAAAGATAGGACGAACAACTCCTGACATGAAGATGGCCGACACGCTCGCCTAGTCTCATGATGTCGGCAGAAGCATTTCATTTCTCCGTCCTTATCGATGTCGCGGAACTTACCATGAAGATCATTAACCAAGAGTCTGGACAGCTCATCGTAAAATAGGACAAAGTCGTGAAAATTTTCCCGTGGATGACAAGTTATCATCGAAGTTGTTACTGCGACTCTATGCTTAGCTTTCTTGGCCAGTCAAGACTGGGTCCTGTTCTAACCAGCTCACAAGTATTCGCACTTGTGCCTCTCGAAAATCCAATAGAAATCTTTCAATAAATTATTTCATTTTGTTGCGCTTCAAAGGTTCCTGAACAGAAAAATTCTTCACTGCCTAAAATTTTGTGAATAACCATCCCACCACACTGGCTACGGAGCTCGTGGGGCGAGAGAGGAACATCCGCGCTGTGCTCGCCCAAGAAGCTCTCATCATCTCTTGTGTTTGTGCCATACACATGAACGGACTTTGTTGATGCTGGCTTCAGATTTTTGTGATTTATGTTACGAATCATAAGCTACGAGAGGCGAAGGAAACACTGACGTTGAGAGGAAGGAACGTCAATAGTTTTCTCTAAGAGGAACTTATAACTCCTAACTCCAATCTTCAAAAAGTTTACACGAGTTCAACTTCAAAATACTGGCCGTAAAAATACAAATAATTCAAAATACATCAACACTCATATCATCGAGGCACTTGAGAAGGTCATTGCCAGTTGGTTGGTACAGTACATAGAGTAGCTGATTTTTCAACAGAAGGCAACTCGGTTTCTGATGAAATCGGTCCTGCTTGTCCAAGTTGCTGGCGCATATCCAGCAAATTCTGACCAAGCTCAGGAGAGGGCTGGCGTGGACATGATTTATTTGAACTTCGCGAAAGCCTGTGACGAAGTTAACAATGGAGTTCTCTTCCTCAAGTTCTAAACACATTGATTATGCACGCTGTTCATGATGACTTTAGGTCAAGCAAGGACATGGTGAAGAACGGAGTACGCCAGGGAACGGTGCTGAGCCCGATCCTCTTCCTCATTCACATCGTTGACATAGACGTGGAAAAGAGTCACGCCTCGACATCGTCATTTACCGACGAAACCAATGACAATAACTGACAGGACAGACTGCGAAAGGTTGCACGAAGATCTGTGTAATAAATTAATGTGCCCAAGAGAACAACGTGCAATTTGACGGGACCAAGTTTGAGGATCTGCGACACGGAGGTGGTGGAAGAGTCGAGATCGAACACCTCGCAATACAAGGCACCGAAATTAAAGATCATCAACTCTTTCACAATCTCGAAATGATGATCAGTAGCCAGGCCACGTTCGTGATTACGTCGTATTGATAAATGAAAGAGGCTAGCCATTGATGGGCTAGATTTTGCAGATATTCAGAGCAAGGCAAGCGGAATCGATAATTGCATTATTCAAGGTCCCTATGTTCCCTCTCCTTGAGTACTGCTGTGAGCTTTGGTGTTCACGATCGGGGCAGTCGGGCAGATGGAAGTGGCCAGAGAATTTTACTGTCTTGGATCAAAGGCATGGAAGAGCTAAACATCTTGGAAAGGTTGAACCATCTGTGATTGTACTCATTGCAGAAAAGACGGAAGAAGTATGTCATTCTGTACACATGGATAATAACAACCGTACTGGCCTCTAACTTTGAAAGCGAGATCCTCAGGATTGCGAGATAACTCAACACGAGAAAAAGGAGACTGTGCAGGAATACGGATGTCTTATTACGAAACCGAGCAGAGATTACAATCTCTGCGTGTTGGATCTGTGCACGTGGCGAGACTGAGGCTATTCAACGCCTTGCCAATGGGCTGGGAAAACTGAATTACATCCCATGGACCTTCATGAGACGACTAGAAGGCTTCCTGGGGCCATACTTTCACAACTCGCTAAGTTAACGTAAGTACTTACGCTCTGTTTTCTTATCTATGATTGGTGGAATTTGCTTCAAAGGCCGTCAATGATTGGCTAATGAATTTACGATCTCTTAACTTTTTTGAAAGTATGGCCCCTGGGCACTATCTCGAAGCGCCTTCTCTGCACCACTACCATCAACAAGAAGCAAGCGTCCACGCCGTGCATAAGCTGGTCCACCGTAGGGCAGATGCGCGGTATAGTCATGGCCTTCGTGTTCCCGGCGGCGCAGACAACCTTCTGCCGGGGCTGGGGGCGGCCGAATACTGAGGCGGAATCCCGAGTGACCTGGGACTGCTACAACGAAATATCCTTCCAGGATACAGGTCAAATCCTTCGCTAGTTTTATCCGAATATTGAGTCTGCGATTTTTTTCTATAAGAATGACAACGGGTTAAACGGAAATTGTGGTGCAATTCACCGGAGAATCATAGCAGATCTATCGACGTCCATTCAGTGGACTCCGATATGTCGGCCAAGATTCTTTTCACGGACGGGGTGTCGTGAAGTGCAATACGAGAAATCATTCCAAATCCTGAGAACTTGTACGACGCTGCTACCGTGGGCTGTGGTGACATGCTGCCACCAACGGGCCTACATCACTGCCACCAATAGGACTACATCACTGCCACCAGTAGGACTACATCACTGCCACCAATAGGACTACATCACTGCCACCAATAGGACTACATCACTGCCACCAATAGGACTACATCACTGCCACCAATAGGACTACATCACTGCCACCAATTAGGACTACATCACTGCCACCAATAGGACTACATCACTGCCACCAGTAGGACTACATCACTGCCACCAGTAGGACTACATCACTGCCACCAGTAGGACTACATCACTGCCAGCAAGAGGTTCTTAGTTGATATACTACGGGATGCCACTCATGCCACCACACCCATCACCTTACTCATGCCACTCATGCCACGCAAAGAATCATTGGTGGAGTTGAAGAGCCGTCGGGTGAAGGGGAATTGAAGTGGGGGCCCTACGGCCTACGGGGGGCTTTGGCCGTTCGGGGGCTATGGCCCTTCGAACGAAGGGGTTAGGAGGGGGAGGGGGTGCTGTTACACATGGGGAGGGGGCTTCTAAACATGTTGCGAACTTGAGACATGGCGCCATGTGATATGCTTCACATGATGACATGTGATACCATGTGGCAAGTAGCGTCACATGACACGCAGCGTTGGTCTATGTTACGATCAGCGCTAGACTTACGAGCACCGCATGCAATATAGACTACGTGATCTACCGCCAGATCCGCGGTCAGGGTGGACAGATCTCTCCTTTTGTCCATCATGGCACGGACACTTGTTTCGTGTCCGCTTGCGAGACTCATCTTCTGTTGTCCAGCTAAGTATTTGTCGATAGATATTTTTTTCCGTGTCGTCTAGGAACCTATTTTGTCTCTAGAATTTTCTTTTCGTGATTAGAGAACTATTTGTGTAGACATTATTTTTCTGTGTCCGTGTAATAATTTCATCGCTACGAGTTCCGTGTATTAGATAGAAGAACGTCGCTCTAGTGATCGAACTTTCTCGTGAAATATCGTCCGTTGTTCTATGGGTCTTGTCGATGCTATGGACTGCGCTAATTATATTCCCGTATAAAAATATTTAAATGAATTATTTATTGATTGGTTGTAGTGGCCACCAAATGATTGTTGAGATTGGCTTGTTAGTCTTAAGGTTTTCGTCCCTGAAATAATTTTAAAGAGAGGCAAACGAGAGGGTAAAGTGATGGTAAAGAGAGTCAAGTGAGAGGGGAGAGTGGTGGCAAAGAGAGGTGTACTGCGCTTGTCAGAAGCGGGAACAAAAGAGAGGGAAAATAAGCGAGGGTAAAGAAATAGGGACCCTATAAGCTTGCAATAGTTCAGCCTAAAGAGGAACACAAACACCAAAGACTCACGCATCTTTTACCTTCAAAAAAATATTTAAATTATTATAATTTCGTTGTACTGCCTGGATATTTCACCCCGCGTTAGTTAATTACGTTCGGCTTGTGTTGGGAGTGAAGAACTTGTCGCTACGGCGACGCTTGTCTCCCGCGTCGAGTAACTTGCTTGCTGAGAAGTGCGATCTCCGAGTGACGTGGTGTTGAGCCTGGACCTGGGACCTGCTCAATCAAAATCTGATTCTTTATTAAAAAAATTCCGGTAAGAACTTGTTTAGTAATTTAGATTTTATCTTTACGCTATTGGACGGGGGCTGGTGAGTGTGCCTCTTGTGTAGAGCCCCACAGCGGGTCTTGATATACTGAGGCCCGTGTTTTTTTAAGGGTTCTCGGGCCCCATGCCTCCATGTTATGTTATCCTAGGCACAACTCCTAGCAAACTTTGGCCCGCATCATCCATGGCCCAGCTCTGGCCCAGACCACGTCCTTATTCTTTTATTACAACGTTAACGACTCTGGGTCTGCGGGCTAGAAGGCCACGGCTCCGTGTTTCTTATGTAGGTATGTTCGCGTAAGTTAGTCTGTAGTCTAGTGAGTCTATTGCAACTTCTCTTCTTTCTCTTCTCTATGATTTTCTCAACTGAATAAATAATTTATGTAAAATAATGTTTTCATTCTCCGACAAAGTTGCAGCAAAGCGCAATTGTTAGTATCGTTTGCATCGATGTGTTGACGTTAGCAATCTATGACGTTAGCATCGAGGTATTGGTGAGGGTTAATTCCTGCATGGAAACTATTGTGAGTTAAAACAATAACTAATTCATCGAACTCAACATCACCCACGAGGTTTAGTAATTGTTTACCTGTGGGGCTCCATTTTCTGTTGGAATTTCATTACCTTAAAAGTTTAATAAATCAGTAAGACCTACGTTGTTATTTGGCAAGTGGTAGGAACTCAAAGTACATAGCCTAAATAGGTTAGGTCAAAGCGTGAGTATAGACGGAAGAGGGGCAGTACGAAAAGTTATTGAAGACCACCTTTAAGTCATCGAAAGTAGTAACTTGTCTCAATGATAAGTTGACCGTAAAAATCTCTGAGTCTGCTGCCATGTAATGGATATACCCATCAGCAAGCCGCATGGTTGGTTGACCTCAACAATTGCTACAAGCTCCCCCACCCAGTCCTTTGTTAGGGATATGATGCTACTTATTCAACGAAATCAACGTTGTTTTTAAGATGGATACATGATTATAGCCTTGCAACAGGACAAGAATGCATCACAACGTTAATAATAAATGAGTAACTCTCACTGCCCAGACTGGGTTACCCTTCAGGCTCTTCAATTCGTGGCATACTAAATTTGTGCACGCGTTATTGCGACAACCTCATGGTGGAGCCTCATGAGTCATTTAAGAAAAATTATAAGTAGTTTTTATTAGAAATTTTATTAGGAACATTCGATGCATGTCAGTGCGACACGTTTGGTTTTGTCCGTTCGTCAGACGAGCAAGAGTTATCGAAATTCCTGGCGAGTGTCACAGAACGAAGATCGAATGACCAGCCTGAAGATTTGAACCTCTGCCATCATAGCTGAAGCGCTAGTAAACCATTATACTACTACTACTCTGCCATCGGGGACTGAGTGTTAGTGAGTAGTAGATTTTTATTGACAAAAATAAAATGTGGATTTTTATTACAACTTCTGATAAAATATATTTTAATTCATAATTGCACCACCTGGCACGATAAATTGTGCTTGGCTGGATCAACATTAGCATAACATAACATAATTCCGTTTTGAACAAGAAAAGTGAACTGTTAGCTGTGATCGCAAACGAGTGTATAGACATTATTTGTATTACAGAAACACTCCCTAAAATCACGGGGGGAAAATTGTACCTGTTGAATTTCAACTGCCAGGTTTTGATTGTTTTCATAACTTAAATCAAGAGCAGTGCAGTAGAGGTGTAGCTCTGTGGGTTAGAACCTCATTTGGGGCCCAGCAAGTTAAGTTATCTGCAGAGCATCAATCAGCTAGAGAATCAGTGTGGTGCGAACTTATTCTAAAAGGCAAAGATAGCCTTCTCATAGGGGTAATTTACAGATCACCTAACAGCTCCTCTGATAACAATAAAGTACTAAACAGCCTTTTACCGAGCATGTCATTCAGCAGGTCGCATACGTTGATCGTTGGTGACTTTAACCATCCAGAAATAGACTGGGCTATGAAAAGATCCGGTCAAATGACACGAGTTTAGATCTATGAACAAGGCACGAAAAGGAAAAGAATCGGCGACAGGCCACATCTGGCCTACACTTCAGCGCCAACATCACTATGTTATGTTATGTTATAACATAACATAGCAACATCGGCGTTAAAGCTAAAATAGATAAAGTTGCCCAGTCGCTAATTCTTATAATGCTCCTGACTTGTTTCTTAGAGATATGAGGACTGGCCTTTTGCAAAAAACTGTCGTTGAAGCTATGTAGCTGCAGAAAATCTACCAATTTGTTAGGTTGCAACCATTCCTAGTCGAAAAATATAGAATTATTCCTTATGTCGGTGACTCGCAGCGAGAGGAAGTGTTCTCGCGTGGATGAGTTGCCCCTCAGCTTATATGGATTATAGCCGTGGCCCCTGGTGTTGGTTCTTGTTTCTTATTCTAGTAATCCTTCTGGGACCTTGTGTAAACCATGATTATCCTTGTATACTTCGATGATGTTGCCATGCAGACGTCGATAACTAAGACTCGACAACTTTAATGCTCTTCGATGCCGATCACTTTGGTTGTTGTACGAATCAATTAGTTTGCGTCATGCTATTGATTCGTTTGCGTCATGTCATGCCATTGATTAGTTTGCGTCATACACCCCTTTAAATATAATGGATTCAAGTCACTGGATATTGGCGTAATTTTTTTGGTCGATAAAGTTCTAACTTGGCGGGCAGTGTTCGAAAAAGGCCAGCCATGTCATGACCAGAAAATTGGTCATGCCATGGAATCAACTCATGCCATGAGTTCTATAATGTGATGCTTAGAGGGAGAATAAAAACTTATCGTTCAAACTACAGGAATATAGAACGCAGCAAGGTTTGATCCAGCCGTCATTGCAAGTTCATGCCCTACAATATGTCAGTTGTTCCAGGCGAATTCGAATATTAAATTAAAATTCGGATATTAAATTCAAATTCGAATATTATATTCGAATTAGAATGTTAATTTCGAATTCGAATAATAAATTCGATTTCGTATATTAAATTCGAATTAGAATAATGTTCCTCCTCTCCACTGAACGTTGACGTCGCTAACGTGTGTAATTCTTTGGAGAAACTGAAAGCAGTATTGCGCTATCTTTATACGTAAAATCATGATACAATTTTTAGAGGAGTCACTCATATTGCATCCTATAGGTCAATAGGTTTCCTTTCATTATGTGAATAAAGATCAATTACACAACGAAAATATTAGGAGGTTCAGTAACAAATTAACGTCGTAGTATAGCTCTGAATACAAATTGGGTGCGTGACATTGAGGGAAAATATTGAAATAGCGATTAAAAAGTATTATTTTTACAACACTTCTCTTTAACTTCACTTCTTGTTTGTTTGTCTGTCTGCTACAAATCTTATAATCGATATTTAACACACTTCTACCTGTCCAATCGATTTGAAATTTGGCACACTTGCGTAAAGTTGGAGACAATAACAAATAATTTTGTCTCCTACAAATCTTTTAATCCAAATATGATACAATTTGACCTGTCCAATTGATCTGAAATTTTGCACAATTGCATAAAGTCAGAGACAATGCATGAATCAATTGACAGAATAAATAATTTTTAAAATTTACAAAATGTTGATATCTTAAAAAAATTTGAAGAATAATTTTTTTTCAATATTTGAAAATGAAATTAGAAATTCATTGTACATGTGTAACATCCACGATACTGTATTGTTCAGAAGTGTTGTCTTTAAAAAACAATTTTTAAACGCATATTTTTATCGTCAAAACCATTGTCTGCGTACCGAATTTCGTGACAAATTGTGCTTGTCAAAATCGCCTTGAGTGTCATTTCGTGGTGATTCTCTTTTATAGCATGGGAGTTGTTTACCTCTGATCAGCTGTTGTGCGGTTTTCTGCCATTGTAAATGAGTAGAGCGACTTAACGTAAGGCGTAATGTTGCTCGTCAAGTTGTGCTAGAACAGTACTTTAGTTTTTGCATTATAATTTTAAAGTGGCCGGAAGGTAAATCATGATTATATTCTCATTATGGACAGACATTCACCAAATAAGGAAGGTAAATTAATAATTATGCAAGTTATATTAATTGCCAATAAATCAAATAAGTGAATAATGATACAGATACTACCTTGACTAACTTTACTTTAAATAGTGGCTAGCCTAGTGCTAGTTTTACTGTAATAAATTGAGATTCCTTTGTCCATTTCCAAACATCATTGACCTAATCAAGCTCATACAAGCTGTCAGTTAAACCTGGAGATCACCTGGCACGCTGGCAGGCTGGCATAAGAATGATGAGATCTGGCACTCCAGGCTTCTAATTCCAGTGCCATGTGTCAAGACAAAATTTGCTGGTCTGCCTCTTCCATTTTATGTTTTTTTATGCTTCACATGCTGTTTCTGTACATACCTTTGAAAAAAATAAATAAAAAAAGTGGGCGGTGGCATTTTCCATTTGGCCAAAATTATTTAGACAGTAAATACTCATTTGCTCCAAGCAAGATGGTTAGATGGGAAAGTTTCTGTTCATTACTTATATCTAATGGCTCCAAAGTAAATTATTTTTAATAATTTTAGAATTTTGTTCTTTGAGTGTACACTTTTGCCAAGAATTAGTTAGGAGGTAATTTATTTAGCAGGCATCTTACTGCTGCAAAAATAACAGGAAAGCTCAACTGCTCTAGTAGTAGTAGCACTGTAGCAGACTAGCAGCTCATAAACTAAAGCAGATAAATTTAATTCTATGCCAGGCTCTATGCATGTATAATGTATGCTGTATGTATTGCACGGTTACAAATTTCTCTCAGGAATTATGAATTTTTTTATGATGCTACAGTAAACAATTCAAATCACTATCTTACATAGCTCTGTAACATCCAGGTTACAGACAGTAACCAAATAACTAAAGACTCCTTAGCCAGAAGACATCTGAAGACAGGCAAGACAAGAGTTATTGACTTAGGACTATAATGTTGACACTAAGAAAAATAAAAACCAACATAAACAAATTTTTTTTAACTAAATGATAGTTAAATATTTTTTTTAGCTTTATCTTTTGTTAATGTTGCCATTGATATTCCTAGCTTATGTTTTGTAATTTAATTTTCTTCAGAAGTGCACAAACTGCAGCAACACCTGAGTTTGCTGCGAGACCAGTACAGCCTCCTGCAGGAGAAGTGCTTGCATCTGCAGCAGGAGTTGGATGTTGCGCAGGCTCTCACTGGCAAGCAAGATGGCTCTTCTTCCTTTGCTGGCCGTTTGCTTGGTTTTGTTGGACAGCTTTACAATAAAGTGAGTTACTTTATTATTAGTTACAAACAGATCATTCCTACTTGCCTGCTTATGATGTGAGTCTATGTTGGATATTTTTGACAAAATGCATTATTGAAGATTAATTGTAATAAAATATCTGAAGGGCTAGGATAGAAAAAATTGTGCTCCCTTACTTGATATTCATTCTGCCTATCAAAAATGCAACTATATTATATTTTCATGTTCAGAAACTTTCTGCGTGAGCATTTGACTCTCATCTTAACCACTATTTGTGAGCACACCATAATGAGTCTGCTAATTCCAGGAGGAGTACAGCAACATCAGCGTCAAGGTGTCACCAAAAACAACCCTGCCGGCACACAAGTTTGTGCTGCAGTCTCGGTCTGCCAAGTGGGAGTCTCTCATGCCCAATGACACATTAGGTAAGTGTCTCTGCTGTTCAGTATCCTGTCTGACTTATTACCTAAGTAAAATGTAATTTTGCATATATATTTTTGTCATGATTTACATGTACAAAAATAAAAAAATGTTTGAATACATGACATGTGCAGACTGGAGTGGGCTGGGTGAGGGTGTTGGGGAGGTGGTGCTGCGCTGGGTATACTCAGGGGTGCTGGAGCATCATCCCGACACTGCCTTCATGATTAGCCTCATGACTGCAGCGGCCTCACTGTCTCTGCCTCACTTACTCACCAGGTGAGCCTCATGACTGCAGCGGCCTCACTGTCTCTGCCTCACTTACTCACCAGGTGAGCCTCATGACTGCAGCTGCCTCACTGTCTCTGCCTCACTTACTCACCAGGTGAGCCTCATGACTGCAGCTGCCTCACTGTCTCTGCCTCACTTACTCACCAGGTGAGCCTCATGACTGCAGCTGCCTCACTGTCTCTGCCTCACTTACT